TATGTTATAAAGTGAAGAAGTATGCAAAATTGTACTTACAATATGATCTCAAACATATTAAAAAAATCTATAGTTAATTTATGGGTGATTCTTTATACTGTTAGATTTTCCATGTTTTCTTCAGCAACCATATATTACTTTCATAATTACATTATTTTTAAATGGCACAAATGGATGGATTAGCTTTGGATAGAAGGAAGGATTTTTTTAAGGCTTAAAATGAGAAGAAAGAACAAAGGATTGGGATAAACAGAGTTTGCTGATAGGGGAACAGGATATTAAGTGAGTTCACATGTAACAGACTCAACAGTCTCAGCAAAGCAGGAGGCAAGGACATCTCCAGCAAGCAGAGGGGGTGGGCAGACTGGCAACACTAGAACAAGGGTGAAGGTTTGGAACAGTCCTGTGTGGGCTCAGAGGACTGTCAGGTAGCACACAGGACTCGACTAAGGATCTTTAGAGACAAAAAGGAAATGGTATGTAGTAGTATTGCTCTCAAACTTAGTAAATCATTTGTCAAGCTTCTTGAAAATATCAGCTCCCCTCCCAGTGACTAAGTTTGTCCAAGTAGAGTCCCCGTAATCTGCATCTTTAACAAGAGTGTTTCAGGTGAGTTCAGACCATATTTTGGGAAACAATGGTTTAGAGTATGTCAACAAAGGGCAAATCTATTGATACAAAGAATTTCTTCAGGTTCTCTCCATTCCCATCATTCCAACTTACACAGGGAGTCTGGGTGTTGAGATTTTTGTTTTGTTTTAGAATTTCAAAAGAATAAATATCAGCTTGAAAAGACAGGTAAAAAAAGAGTAGCAAAGACAAGACACACCAACTGTCTTCAGGGAAAAAAATTTTTAATTAAAATCAAATTTTAAAGTTTTTTAATTAAAAGTAAAATTTTTAAATAGAAATAATTAATTAATTAGTTAATTAATTAGTTAAAATAAGACACACCAGTAGTCAAAAAAATAGACAGCCCCTGACTTAGAATTTTTCAGTTTTACCAAGGTGTAAAAGCAATATGCATTCAGTAGAAACTGTGTTTTGAATCTTTTATTTTGATCTTCTCCCAGACTAGCCATGTGGTACATTACTCTCATGACGCTGGGCCGCAGCAGAAGCTGCAGCTCCCAGTCAGCCATGAGATCATGAGGGTACCCAGCCCAGAAAAGTATAACCATTCTGTACCCAATCATTCTGTTTTTCACTTTCAGTACAGTAATCAATAGATTACATAAGCTATTCAACACTTACTATAAAATAGGCTTTATGTTAGATGATTTTGCCCAACTATAGGCTAATGTAAGTGTTCTTAAGGCAGGCAAGGCTAAGCTATGATGTTTGGTAGGCTGGGTGTATTAAATGCATTTTCAACTTCTGACATTTTTCAACTTACAATGGGTATATCAAGATGTAACCCCATCGTACGTCAAAGAAGATCCATATACTATTATCTGTACGATAGAACTCCAGGCCAAGCTGTATCACCTTACCTTTAGCAGGAGAGCAAAATTACTCTGCAGGGAATTAGTCACACCATTTTCATACAATTTTTTCCTCCTGTGGTTTTCACTCACGTTCCCACAACCAGACTGATACCTTAATAATGACTTTAGCATGGTTTCAAAAGGGTCCGCTGAAAGAGACAAATTAAATGTTTCTAAGTCAAAGTCATCACACAAAAGAAAAAAATCTCCAGCAAAAGAACAGAGATCAGGGAAGTATGAGACTGTAGCTGAGGGTAAGAACAGTTTTTTAAAACAACTCCCTTGCCTTTCCTAAATATGAACAGTTCAAGAGGCAATAAAAATTGGCAAGAATACTATATCCTAACTGGGAATGTCACTGTAAATCATCAATACTTACATAAATTTTCTACTCACATGACAGCAAGATCTTTGATTTTTTTAAAAAAGCTCACTCCACTGACATTAAAGCAAAATTGATTTGAGTATAGTCATCAAGTGTTACAGTTAAAATCATTTAGCTGAGTCTAAAAATTTTTTTCTTTCACTTTTAAGTATTTCTTTAATGACTTGTTTTCACACACATGAAAAAATACTGTCATTGTAAACAATTAAAACATACAGTAAAGTACAAAGAAAATAAATTCATCTAAATCTCACCACACAAAGATACTCACTGTTAAATATTTTAGAGACTTTTTTAGAGCTGTTAACATTTCCTAACAGAGACAGACAGACAGAAAAACCTGTCAGATTTTAGAAAGAACTACCGTTCTTTCTTTCAGAGCACTTCTCCAGTTATTAGTGTGATCACTTGAACACCATTTACATGCTTCTTCCATTTCCCAACACTAGACTGTGAATTCAAGAGGAGCAGAGGCCATGTCTGGTTTTACTCATCTCTATATTTCCTCACAGAGCCACCCTTCCTGTTTGTGGAAACCTTAGTGATTAAGAGCACAAACTCAGGCCAGACTGCCTGGCGTCAAGTCCCAGCTCCATGACTAAGTAGTTGTGTGACCTTGAGCAAATGACTTAACATCTCTGCACCTCAGTTTTCTCTTCTGTAAAATGGGGACAATCACAATACCTACTTCATAAGGTGTTCTGAAGATTAAATCTGTTACAATAGAGCTGGCCTATAGTAACTGCTATCTAAGTATTTAATGAACAAAATAAAATAAATCCGTATTAGCATATTAAGTCCTGAATGTATCCTTTAGTTCAGCCATTAAAAATTTTTAAGTTTGTTTTATTTGTAATTATTTTATTACAAATAATACAAATGTCTTTTCTCATTTATGTGATTATCAACTTATGATAATTCCTGAAGATATTAGTGCTAAGTCAAGGGACACTGCCAACCATCTCTCCAGAGAGTTTGTGAAACATTTACACTCCACATTTCTCCAATCCCTCACCAACAAGTTTTGCCAATATTTTTCACCTCTTCTGGTCAGATAATGAGAATCTCATTTTTATTTGCACACTGGTTATTAGTGAGGCTGCAATCTTTTAATTCACTTTACTGGTATTTCCTGTCTTAATTACCTTGCTTTTGCCCATTTATCTACAATTACATTTTATTTTTATTTTCTTATAGTTTTTATTTACTTTATACATGTATAGGTGGTAAATAGTTTCCCCATTTCTCGTCTAAACTTTTTCATGGTACCTTTTTATTTTATAGAAATATAATATGTAGCCAACATTTTCCTCTCTCTCTTCTTCATCCTTTCTCTATGTGTTTTTTATTGTACTGAAATTTTTCATTTTTATGTAGACAGATTTACCCATCTTGTGGTTGATAGCTCCTAGATCTCATGTCGTGGTGAGAATGGGCTTAACAGCAACCCCTTCAAAAATTTTTATGTTTAATCATGTTTTCTTCTATCACTTTTATGACTTTAAATTTTAGTCATTTGGAATTTATTTTGACATAAAGACAGAGATTGAGGTTTATTTTTTCCAAATAGCTAACCAGTTTTGCCAAGCCATTAATTACCTTTCCCCTTTATCATAAAATGCTATCTTTATCATACATACTCGGTTTGTCTACTGGACTACCTACTCTATTCCATCAATCTATCTAGTCCTATCACAGGATAAGATTCTTTAAATTCATCAAGCTTTATAATACACGTTCCACCTAATGGTACAAGTATTCCCTTCATTAACAGTCTTTCTAGATGTTTCTTGGCTACTCTTATACCTTTACTCTTCCAGATGCATCCTGGAACTATTTTTTTCAGGTTCCAAAAAAATCCCGTTGGAATTTACATTGGGTTTTTTTTGTATATATTTATAAATTGAGAGGGAAAAATAATCAGTTTACAATACTGTGTCTTACATGAGGTAATGAATATAAAGACTTCAGCATAATGCCTGTCATATAGAATAAAGCAGTTACTAAATGTTAGCTGTTCCTATCCAAGAACAATGTATGGGTCTTTGTTTATAGACACTTAAAAGATAAAGATTAGCTAATTAGAAAGAAAATAAACTTACATGTCTTATTAGGGTTGATATGCTGTTTCAGGACATCAACAGTGCCCAAACTAACCACAAGGCGCCTGCCAAACCAGAAAGAGACCACAGGCCCATATCTCTCATGCAAATTAACCAGGAACTCGTGCAAACTTCCACTGTTCACAATATCTGGAACATTACCATCTCTGAGAAAAGAGCAAAATGATCAGTGATAACTTGGAAGAATCAGAAGAACAATACTAGTTGACTCTGAATTAACTGTGTCAACAGATGAGCGCAAAGATACATGAAATTCAAATTACTGCAAAATCCAAAACAATAATGTTTGACTTCTTACTTTTGGTAGTTATTTAGTTATTTAAATTTGTATTTAGATACAGATTTGTCTGATATTTTGAAATTCTGTAACACTTCACATCAAATAAGAGAGCTACACAAGAAACATCTGACTTAGACACTGGATAACTATCCAATTTTTGCAGCATCTTATTCTGAGATAGCAATGGACATCATCATTGACTATTAAATCATAGGCTTTTAATCAGCTCTGGCAATTTTTCTTACTTCCTTCTATCTTAATCCTGTCTTTCTATTTTCAACACGCTATGGCTAGGGAAAGTGATAGAAATGAAAGGTTTTGATTATGCAGGCTTCCTTTCTGCTCTTAACAAAGTTTAGGCTGTATACTCAGAGATAATATTAGAGAAAACAGAAGAATTAAATAAGCTGAGTAATCTAAAGATATGGTTTAGTTCTGATCCAAAAATTAAGGGTTGACTCTACTTGATTCCAAAAAAATACTCACTTTTCTTCTGTTGGAGTAATACCCGGAATTCCTGCAGCTTGTCTGGAAGCCTTAGGGGAAAATTTTTAAATAGCTTAATATAATGAAGTATCATATATCCCACAAGTCAGATGTGTTTTGCCAAGACATCTATAGGACCTTAAATGATGGCTTTACAATTCAGCTGAAACTCAGGGATTACTGCTGTATTAAAATATAAAAACCAGATTCTTTTTATTGAAAAGAATTATCCTAATATTTCTCCTCTGTATCAATTAAACTAAGGTGTTTGAAGAATTTGACATCCATTCTACATCAATTAACCTAAATCAAGTACATTTTTCTTTTATCTGAGACTATATATATGATCCCATCTGGATTGGTTTCAAAAAAAAAATCAACGTCATGATTATAATAGTTTCATTCCTAAAACAGTTCTCTTCTTTCTAGTCAGAGAATTTACCAAAACATGATGTGATATTCTTTTTTTACTTTAATGTAATTATTATCATCAGGGTCATACAGTCAGTAAGGTTTCTGGTATAGAAATAAATGACAAAATAACCCACAGCACATTGTTAAAGAGAATCTCTGATGAATGAACTGAGGAAAAGTTTGGGGAATTTTAATTTTTTGCAATTTTGTACTGGGTTTATGGTTGCTGTGTTTAGAGGTCAGTGTTATTTGTTATTTTAGAACAAGCATATTACCTTGATGATAAGACTTTTTATAAAATCAGATTTTAATAAATATTTACAGAAAAAAATAACCTAAAATATTTACTCCAGAATCAATTCTGAATTTTGTCAATGATATTGACTAGTACTAACCAGTTTATTTGTTTGGCATTCTGCCCTTTTCTTCCCCCTACTTAACACTATATAAATGAATGATTAATTTTTTTAATTTATTTGAACATCTAAAGGCTAATAACTGTCTGTGTTCTATCATGTAGCCAGAATTGCTTAATTGTTTTCTTGCTATACTGTTGTGAAACATCTAGGCTATTTCTCCTTTTTCTTCCATTTTTTCATTGTTATAGGTACTGCTATGAAAGTCTTTGTACAACTTTACTTCTTTCCTCCTCTGGGGTATGTATGCCAAAAGAGAGATACTAGGTTGAATGGTACTAACTGAAGAGTTTTATAGTTCCTACTAAATCCTACAAGAACACTGCCTAGACAATATTGTCTGTAACTTGCATTTAACTGATGACAATAAAACCTAAAATGTATAATTTTATCCTATAGTCTCATCAATAATGGAAACTTGTCATGTTTAATATTATAGGAAGTAGGGAAAAGGATGGAAAGAACTCCATAATTAGAAAAACAGAAAGTCAGTGGTATTAAAAAACCCTACTTTCTATTTTCTGTGCTGAAATTATTGATTGTAACAAGCTTCCTTATTTCTCTTTACACATAGTAAGACATAACATTCATCTATCATCTCTTCTTCCTGAAATCCCACAAAATCAAAGTAAAGAAATAAAAAAGGAGGAAATAAGGATGAACAGAATGGGAGAGTAGACAACAGTGGATGAATAATCCAACCAGGTTTTGAAAGTGGTAAGCCTTTGGAGCAGTGATTGATGTAGTTGAGGCCTCCTCTGGGGGTCTGCAGGGGATTCCTGTTAAGAAGCAATTAGATTTGCACTCAGTAACCAGAAAAGCAGGGTAAGACACAAGACTTTAACAATTAGCAAAAAATCAGTATACAGATCCCTTAAACCTCATTCCTATGATCGCCATCCTTCCGGAAGGAGACCTGTAGATTCTAGACTCAGGAACAACAGGCTGGTGGGTGGTGGCCCCTATAATTCTAAGGGAAAATTATTTCCAACCTAGCACTCAAGTGTGAAGCTAGAACAGAAAGATTTTTCAAACAAGCAAGGTCTCACAAAATGTATTTTCCATGCACACTTTCCTAGGAGACTCCTGGAGAACAGTGCACTGCAGCAAATAAAGGAAGTGAAAGGGAAAGAAGGAGAGACTCATGTAGCACCCAGGAAACAGGGTATCCAACTCAGGCAAAGAGAACATCCACTCTGACAGGGAAAGGACAGGAGCTACACAGCCGACAGAGATGGTAACCACTACTGACCCGGGAAGAGTGATGGAGGACTCCAGACGGGTATCTTCATGAGAAAGAAAATACAACTGACGCCTTTGAATATCTGAAAGAGTTCACTGAGTAGTGAAATATGAAACAAATGTTGAAATATTTGGCAAAAACTATTGACAGGGAGGAGTGTATAACCTCCAACAATGTGCAACTACTAAGTACCACTCCTCATCCTGGCTTCCACAGCTCCAACAGCAGGCGTGAAGACAGAGCCTCGGAAGTCTGTGTTCCCTGGATAAGATGGTTCTGCTTCAAATAGCAGAAACAAATAGTGAGTCCCAGAACACCAGAGGAGAAGCTCTCCTGCCCTGTACTATATCCACATCTACCAAATAGCTGAATTGATGAAAGGGATCGCAAAATTGGCATGCATCTGGCAAGACCCTGCAAAACTTCAATGTCCCTGGTAATCGTAGCTTCACTACTGTCCAGAATAATGTTACTACGACCTTTTTCCTTACTTACATTAGACACCACACAAAGCCCAGACTACCATCCCCAGGTCTTTCCTCATCCCCCAGACTCTGATTCCTACAGAAGTTTATCCTTTTTCCTGACCCATCTGTCTCCAACTCAAAACTCTATCTGATCTCAGCCACTCATTCCCATAGTTATACACTAGACCTTGACATAACCAGTAACTTCAACATCTCCAGAGTTTTAACATCAAGTATTCAAATCTCCAAGCACCTACTATTTTTCCTTCTTACTAGTTTTAATATCTTGACTCCAAAACTATTTTTACCCCAAAAGGACTTTTAACCCACCCACTCACATACTCACTTTCCATTCTACACAACTTAGATTTCATGGCCCGTTACAATAAACACTCCATTGCCCCATGTCCTGTCATAGTCACCTAGCAAAACATTTCTAATTAAACCCAATATTCTGTCAACTGCCCCTGATTCCACACAGCTGAAGAAAAACAGGTGGGAAAAAAACACAGCCATGGTGACTAGTCTTCTTTTAATTTCATGAGCCTCAACTGAGCTGCCTGGAAATCTCATATTCCTGGTCCCTCACTCTCCTAATCTTCTAGATGGCTATTGTGCTCCTTCACTCTCTTCAAACCCCCTATCCTCACCAATAACTGACAATCCCATTTCTATTTCACTGAAAAAATAAAAGCAACCAGGAGATAACTTCCACACCATAGCTACCTGTCTGCCTACATTTGTGCCCATATATTCTACCTTCCCTTCGATAACTATTGATGAACTGTCTATGCTCCAAATGAAGTGTACCCCCTATCTTCCACACCATCTCTGCTACCACTACCTTGGTCAAGCCAACACCACCTCTCACTGAAATTGTTATAACATTCTCCTACTTTGTCTACTTCCATCCCTGCCCCAGACACATAAGTCTATTCTTAACATAGCAACCAAAATGATTCTTTTAAACTTTAACTGATAAAATTAATTTTAATTCTCTTAAATTTAAAATGTCAAGTCTTCTGTAAAGCCAAGTCCATAAAAATAGCCTACAACTAAAACCTGCCCTTTGCCCCCATGATTCTGACTGTATCCTTCTGAGCAGTTTCTTCTGTTCTTACTCCACTCCAGCCACCGTTACGGTGGTCTCCTTGTTTCCCTGGGACACACCAGGCTTGTTTCTGCCTGAAAATCTGCGCTTGTTCTCTTTGCCTGGAATGCTTTCCCAGACACCTGAATGGCTTACTCCTTCACCGTTCAGGTCTCTTCAAATTTCTCATCTCTTGATCATCCTACTTTAAAATTACAATGGTACCTACTCCCAACTTGATTTAACTCCATAATACTTAACACTAACAAAGTACATGTTATTTGTTTACATTGTTTCACCTCACTAGAATACAAATTCCATGAGTGTGGAATTTTCTGTCTGGTTTGTTTACTGTTGTATTCCCAGTACATGGAACCGTGTCTGGCACATAACTGGTTGAAAGAATAAACAGTGTTGCTTCCTAATCAAAGGGCAGTCTCATTTAAGGAGGGTCAAAAATTCAAAACCTGGAGGCAACTAAACGTTTAGTTTCTCACAAAGTAAGATATATTCAAAGTTCCAGATTGTGTCTTGCAATATTCCAGTCTAACCCACTTACCAGCTCTGAAAAGAACACTTAAGGTGCTCTGTCATTGTCAGCGATGTATCTGGCGCTGTTCTGCTGCTTTACAGCTGTTTATATAAAACCACCACTTTGCTTTGCAGATGATTCCCCATCTACTAGCTTCTTGGTTTTCAGAACCACCCTCTAAGGTTGATGACCGCAGAGAAACGGAGAAAGGTTAGAACGTGATTCAAAGATAAGGCACGTGGCTAAGTCAAGCTGACAGCGAACGGGGCCCCCGCTCAGTGCTCTTACCAGGACCCCCTTAGCCTGTGAGGGAGGCCCTGCGAGAAGCAAGACCTGGTCTGGACCTTAAGGACTTTGGATTCCAAGAACGACAGATCTAAAGAAAGAAAAGCAGACAACACAAAAAAACACTGGGAGAATCCTGAGGAAAGGAGAAAGGAATGGAGCAGCCTGGAACTTTCACTCAGACACACCAAAAAAACGGAACTGGGGTTGGCACAATTATTGCCCAGAAGCCACCAAACCACGTCAGACCCGCCCTGTAACAATGGCGGGGCGCTGCCAGGCGCAGGGAGGCCG